TCCAAAATTGGGCAAAAATACTGAAAATTTAAAAATTTACCAAATAAACAGTATACTTTGACGAATTTCCTGAAATTATTCTGGATGGAATTGGACCTAATAATTATTTTTCCTCCATAGAAGTCTTAGCAAGCTTCACGTGAAAATTGGAACCACTTTGTTTCGATTTTTTTGGATTTAGTTATGAATTTTCAAAGTTGGCCCATTTTTAGATGAACAATATATGGATAGGGTGAACAGTAAAATCCAGAATTTCAAATTTTTTATCCAAAAAGGTTATGAAACGATTTATATTGGTTCCAATTAATGTATAATGGGTTAAAAAGAGAGGTGTGACATGGGGTATTTATAATGCAAGCCAAATTTGCCTTTCAAATTCACCATTAAATTTTATCCTAAAACATTTGTGCAAATCTTGCTCCATCTCCCTTTATGATCACACCATTAGCCCTTAGGTGTCCTCCTCATTCAATTCCTAAGTCAGCTCATAGAATGTCTCATGTGCCACCTATCACACATGAAGGAAAATACCAATTTTCTATCCAATAATTCCATTCTTCCAAACTTAACCTTCAACAATATGTATTATTCCACTTAGATCCTCCCCCCTCATTTTTGGTGCCATTTCAACCAAAAATATGAAGAAAAAATTTTGTCCCAACAAGCTTATGATTATTACACTATATAATCTCACAATATCAGTTGAATTTTTCTTGGACCTTGTTAAATCCAACACTTCCAAAATTTTATTTCTTTATGCTAATAGTTTCTTTTTAATGAGGAGAGGTTTTTCTAATTTTTTTTCAGATTTAATTTTGACCTAAAACTCCTTTAATTAAATTTTTTCCGAAATCAGTCTTTTACCGATATAATTCATGATCAACTTTAAATATTTTAAAGCTAACCTTTGCATCTTCAGGGGCCATGAATAATTTTAGAATCTGTAATAATCTCTTTTCTAATTTTTCACATTTTCCCATGAATTATTGAGGCCTCTACATGTTTAAAATAATCCATTTTGACCAATTTTTTTCTTAATTAGCCAAAATTTATTAAAATTACAGAAAATTTTAAAATAAATTATTTTTATATTGTTTTTACCTTTCAGGCCTCAAATACTATTCTAAACTCTTTATTCTAGTTTTCATAAATTTCGGACATAATTTTCTCTTCTACCCTTTCTTAATTGACAATTTCCAAAATGACACTCCGATCCTTGCTTGAATTTCATTTCAAAAGTTGTTCAACCTTTGTCTCTGCTACATTATCTGACCTTCTATCTATTTTATATTCCTCATCTTTAGGGTCAAAATTTATAGGATATGATACTTAGAAACTTGTCATTGCTTACTCTTCACTTGTCTATAGATTTCGAGGTAATTAAATCCCTTCCTTATGACCTGATTGTAATCACCCTATTAAAAATACCAAGCCCTTTAAAATTTTGATGCTTAAAGGGAGTGTTAGTGAATGATTCAAAGATAATAATAAAGATAAATCAAATTCAAACTGTCAATTGTGAGTGTAAACTGTGCCAATTCTCCGAACTAGGCATACATAAACATCATAAATATCGTCGATCACGGACACAAAATTGATGACTTCGGTGAGCCATTTTCTCAAAGATATATTTGAAATTTGGTTCAAAAGATAATCCTGCTGCATACAAGGAGCTTTCAGCCAATCTGTTCCTTGCAAAGTCTGTAACATCCCAAATTTTAAGGTTCTTGAAAACAGGTTATTCAGAAATTATGAGAATCAAGAATTATTTTAAGGATTGGAGCTTCAAAATTATTTCATTAACCAAAAAGCCTATTTTCGAATGAGATTTTAAGGAGATAAAGATGTAAAATAAGTATTAAAATTATTTAATGCCTAAGAATATTTGGGAAAACATCATGAAATTTTTTTGAGTATTTAGGATATTCATGAAGAGGTTTATTTCCCCAATTATGGCTTAAATTATTTTAAAGTTAATTTCTATAGATAAAGGCCTATTTTTCCAAAAATTTAAGAAAAATAGTTAGAGGTTAATTTTTGAGCTGGTATTTTTTGAATAATTATTTTATGAGTTGGAGAAGCTAATGAAGATAGAAAATCCTTCTAAAGTGTTAAGTATTAATTCATGGAATTAAGGGCTTTTTTCTTGGAAACTTCAAGAAAAATAATTTGGAGTTTATTTTTGGCCTGAAAATTTCAGAGAAATTACTTTGCAAGGTAAAGAAGCAAATTGAGGAAGGAAAGCCTTATAAAGTGTGAAGGAGTAATTTCTAGGAATTAGTTGGTGTTTTAGAGTAATATCCAAAGGACGAAAGCAAAAACCAAGAATTGGATTGAAGGGAAAAATGGTCCAACATTCATTTATAAACACTTCAGCCTTCTCTTCCATTCCACGCCTTGGAGACAAGGAAAGAAAAACAGAGGGAGAGATTGAAGGAGCCGAGAAGAAGAAGGAAGACGAAGAGCATGGAAGTTAAATTATAGAAATTGTGTCTAGTGGTTAAAATAGAGCTTGTGGTGGTGATTTCTTCACATGCATGTTGGTTTGTGTTGAAGGGAGTGGATCTTTGAATCTGGGATTTCTGTGCAGGGGACTGTTACTCAACTCTCTAGTGGTACGTACTAAAATGCTAAAATACATAAGTTATGGAGATGTGTCGTGGATGCATGTGCTGTGTGATGACCAAACCTAAGCTCCCCGTTTTCATGGGTGAGTTGACGCGAACAAGCCCCAAACATGTTGCAAGTTGGCCCAAATAAAGTCTTAAGACCCTAAAGTAAACTTCATAGATCTCCTACACCCGCATTTTTAGCTTTTTTTTTTTTTTTAAAAAAAAAAAAGCCCATCATCAATTTTAGCAGCAATATTTGAGTCTTCTATCGATGTCTTTGGCCTTAGCCTACCAACCTGTGTAGAATATCCTAGAATCAAAGTAAGGAAAGTCCTTTCATCTACATAGATAAATTTATTAAAGAGAAATGATAAAAATAAAAGATAAATAAGCCAATTTTAATTAGTTATTTCATGTAATTTCCTTTTCTGTCAATTTTACCCAATTATCATCACAAAAGCCCTTAAAATATTTATAAAATTATATAATAAAATAAGGATTTATCAAATTCTCTCATACTTAGACTTTTACACTCATAGGCAAAGTGATAGATTATAACGTCATCTGAGATTATAAATATATGCAATTAAGAGAATCAATCATATTTGAGCACGAAGGTGATGAGCCAACTTATCACATCCTTCAAATCAGGACAAGTCACAGAGTAATAATACTAAGAGATCACGAAATAAACACAGTTAGGACAAAAGAATATAACAGAATAGAATCTCTTTAGAATATAACTGTTTTGCTCATCTTATCTTTATGGGGTTCTTTCTCTCAAACCATCTTAGGTAGGGCTCTATCATAGGCTCATAATAATTCTAATTACAGCCACCACATACAAGTGCATTCAATAATCAAGTGGTCTTTCCCGTTTGTAATGTTGTAAACAGGGCACGACTATTATGCATGTAAAGAGATTGAGTAGCAGCCAAAATTTGTCATAAAACACACACACACACACACACACACACACACACACACAAGTAAAAGTATTGCTAATCAATAAAAATTGGTGGGGATACCTTCTTTTTCCTTTCTTAATTTCTTTTTCCCCCTTCAATTTTCTTTCGATTTTTCTTTCTTTTCTTGATTTTTTTTTCATTTTTTTGGAGCTATTTATATATATATTTTATTTTCTTGCTCTTTCATTTTCTTTTATTTTATTTGTTCTTTTTTTTAATTGGTATCCCACAATATAAAAATAACAATAACAATAATACCACAAGATGAAATTTTGATTAAGGTCAAATAAGAATGCTTATGAAAATAAGATTTATATGAATAAAAACTTACCACAGAATAATGGAATTTAAGAAAACTAAATGGCCTAAAAGGGTAGCAAAAGATAAGTAATATTTGTGGCTTGTGTTTGGGACATAGGGCTTTAGAATATGAATGTCCCAAACGTTTTAAAGTTTGCACATGCGAAAAGTAGCTGTAAAAAGAATTAAAATAAGTTCTGAAGAGTTACCTATGCAGGAGATAAATCACACGTTTTAAAATTATAAGGCTGAAAAAATCCTCACAAAAAGGTTATTTCTCTTTTGAGATATCCACAAGGTCTAACTGAAGACTAATTGACTGACTGCAGAGTATTTTGTCTCGCCTGTTTCTAAGGTTAATTCTCGAACATGATCAGTCAAAATATCACAATCAACAATGAATATAAAGGATTTATAGTTGCACCGGTTGAATCAAGATAATTTAATAATTTTCTATTTATACTATATAAGCAGAAAAGTATAGCAATCTAATAATCTTAGCAGCAGTGTTTGGGCTTTTCTCAGTGTTTTCAACCTTAGTCTACGAACCTCTCTAGAATATCGTATAATAAAAGTAAAGAAACACCTTTCATTCGCATACATAAATTTATTAAAGAGAAATTATAAACAAATAGACAAATAAGCCATTTTTTCATTATTTATTTTAGTTAATTGCCTTTATTGTATTTTTCTAATATTTGTTGCAGTTTTACCCAATTATGATCATAAAAACCCCTAAAATAAATATAAAATAGGATTAATAAGACACAAAAAAGTAAAGCGAAGTAGGGTAGACCCTCTGAAACTCTTGGCTCCATCCATCCCATTGACCCCACCATTACGCAAGTGGTTCCAAAGGCAGCTTCATGATGTCGTTTGATTGATGAGGAGTCGGTGTTCAGCAAGCCGAATGCCAACGTGATGTTCCACCTTACAATAACCAGAGCCACAAATATCCCTTCTTTATGAGAACAATAATAGGACTTACAGTAACAGCATTTTTCTTCATCATATAAGAAACTTACGAAACAACAAAAAAGTACGCCCCCACAATATATAGTCACGTCAAGCACCACTGGCGACCATTACTAATTATAGCTGGGTAGGTTTCCAGTAACAATTTCATTCATATATCAAGAAAGGGTTCAATAACTAATGATAATATTTGTTTCTTAATGTCCCCGTCTTGTGTTCCAAAACCATCACCATTTTGATAAAGAGTATGTGCCACACGAGCAGCATTCATGGCTTGGTTTACAAATGTTCTGAACCATATTGAGTGAAGCAGTGTTCATTTATCTCTTTCCAAGCTCTCTTTATTATATCTTCAATGTGCTTTCTTGCTGCTCCCTCTGTCACATCCATTTGATTCATATAACACACTGTAGATGATGCTGCATCGCCTCTTTCTCTTTCCGCCTGTTTATATCATATCATTTTTAAAATTAAACCAAGAAATGGATGAAAGCTTATAGGGCTCTATATGCATAAATTCAGTGTAGAAAATAAATGATGATATCTTTGGAAAAGGAAAAAGCTTACCGCTGTAGTTCCTAGATCATTGCACAATCGAATTATGAGGGATACGTTGAAGATAAAGTCTTGGTTTTTCAGCAGAAAATTGTTGATTTGATGTTGCGGTTGATACAAAGTAGCAAAGTATACATGCAGTAGAATCATTGGTCCGGAAGATGAAATCCAAGCATTGTTCAGATATTCTTCCAGATATGGTATGTAACCCTCTTTGTACCGCTTCGCTTCCATATATAAAGATTTGCAGAAGTCTTTCCACTGTAAGAAACTTGTAACCAGAAAAAAAAAAAAAAAGGTTGAGATGTCCCGATGTAGCGATGTATATATATCATTTGAATTAAAGATATTGGAGCCATTAATAAACTGATGAATCGTTATGAAACAATAATGGTATCGGATTCACTTCTCTTTTTGTCTTTCCTTAATTCAGTTAAAATATAGTTTAGAAAACTTAGGGAAAAAAAAAGAAGAGAAGGTTTGGATTGTTAATAATATATATTACCGCTTTCTTAATGTGTGGTAAGACTCTATCAACGTTGTTTCCTCCGGCAATTTCATAAGCACTTTCGATGGTGACATCATTGAGTGATTGGAGCAAATTTTCATGAACTTTGGAAGTTTTTGATGTTCTTTTGCATCCCACCTGAAAATGAATGAGAAGCACATGGAAATAAAGTGAGGAATTGAGGAGATTGATTTTGAAACAATTATAAAATCAAAGCGTGACCACTAATTCATTCACGTCAAGTCAAATCGTACACATTATTTCACATGTTACATATGACATTTATTTATTTCCTTAGTCTTTAATATAAAAACTAAATAAATATTTATGAATAATAAAAAAAATTAGTTAAATTACTTATTGATAAAAAATTATGTGTTGGTTTTCCTAAAATGCTATTATAAATATGTATTTTAACTATTCTTTAGTAAAAGCCCTTTACAATATGCAATCAACAGGGATATTTTGAAAAATATATATATAAATTGAAGAAATAAAGTGACTTCAAATATTATTTTTTGAACAAGAACAAACCCTTTTTTAGCTTTTGTATTTTCAAATTTGGAGGTACCTTTTATTTAGAATTTAAAGAGTTTGGATACCCCTGCAATCAATTAAAAAAAGTGATTTTATTCAAATTGAGATAAAATTTCTTTCATATATTTATCTCTTATACCGTAAAATCACTTCTAAAAAGCTAATTGGTAATCGCTTACTAATATGACTCATCTGTTCTCTTTGCCTCGGGAGAAAAAGGCACATGGCTTGTTTGCTATATGTCTTTTCCTCTCTTGAAAGGGCACCTTCCCTTTGTGACAAAGATTATTATTAATGAATGATCTTGTCCCAAAAAAAGGAAAGATAATGCTGAAGACACTTTCTTTATTGTTTAAAAGGTAATAATAGTTCACCAAAAGAATAAAGGTAATAAAACAAAATCGGACCAATCAATTGCGAGTGTAAAGTGCTTCAATTCTTCGAATGAGGCATACACATCATAAATATCATCGATCACCAACACAAAATTGATGACTTTGGTTAGCCATTTTCTCAAAGATTTGAACTTTGGTTCACAAGATACTCCTGCTGCACACATGAAGCTCTCAACCATTCTATTCCTTGCAAAGTTCAAGTCTTTTTCTAAACCAAGATTCTTCCACCACCTAAAGGCATCACAAATATAGTTAGACAGGTTACCTAAGAGAACTGCTTCTCCAAATTAAGCACTACCGTTAGTGGTGAACTACATATATGCTCCCTCTGTTTAAAAATATAAGCTTCAAATAAATAATTAAAATACACAATTCAAAAAATTGGTCAAAGATAAGAAATATGTGAAAAATGCAACTTACTTTCCTAAAGCATCCTTATTTATGGAGAGGGTGAGTGTGAGAGAGAGTAAGTGAAAGAGATGAGAGAGAATGAATAGAAAAAGAAGATGAGAGAAACATCTAAGTAGTTAGGAATAAAGATGAAAAAATGCATCAAAAAATTAGGCAACTCCAAATTGAAACTTATAAAAAGGAAATCAGAGACCTTCAAAGATTTGAACTTGATATTTTGAACGGAATGAAGTAGACATTCTTCAATAGAGATATGAGTTATTTAACCATTTCTAAACCTTTTAAGCTAAACATTACCTTGATAATTCCTTAACTTCATTCTGAAGATTAGCCTGAACGATGTTGAAGTTTCCTTTGGCTAGCTCAAGTAAGACATGATTCGTGTGGTTTTTCCCAAATTCTTTTATGTGGCGTTTAACCTGAAACCATTGAATTCTCCAATGAGAAGGAAGCTCTAAGGCATGATAGACCATTGGCTTTGAAACATCCGATGAGTCAAGCAATTTAGTGGAAGTTCCCTTGAGAGAATTGATAGCAAATGTTCTAATCTCTTCTAAGATATGTTCACTTTCAAACGCTAAGTATGAGGCCTCAAGAAGCTCAATTAAGCCTTTAATATCCTCAGAAGTTGCTGGTTTCTTCCACTTATTCTCCTTTCCAAGTAAGAATATTGTACCAAGTTTATCTGTGTTTTCACCAAAACCATCACAAGTTATTTTAGCCGCGGTTATGTGAATTTAAAATTCGTTTTTGCATTTTATAAATTTGTATTTCAATATTTACAATTTAAAATCTTTAGTTAACCGTTACACTAAAAATTTTGTAAACCGTTCCAATGTGTTTCCATAATTTAGTTATGTATGTGCATTATATTTATATATATATATATATATATATATATAGGTTATGCATGATTTAAAAGTTTGATTAATTTGAATTAAATAAAGGTTTGTTCTTTTATGGGAAAAGAGACTTACGAGGAGAAGTATAATATCCCTTTTGCCTTAGAATCCTGAAGCACAGTACGTTGATACACACTTGTTCTTGAACTCTAGTACTGTTATTGTGAACAGATATTAGAGTTTCTAGAGCCTCCTTGATTTCTTCCTGAAAATGTTTTGCGAGACCAAGATTTTGAATGGTAGCGATCAACTCCAACTTGGGCAATGGACCAATCTCTTCCACAAAGAGACATTTTGCTTCTTTGATCAACTTCTCTAACCTCATGCCAAATTCTTCTTTCTGTGTACATACACACAACAATAAATTTTAGTTATATATATATAAAGTGGATATAAATAATGTGATTAAATGAAAAAAAGGCGAAATTATACATAACTTCCCTAGACTTTATGTTATCTATAATAACCTTCTTAAGTTTTGAAACTTCACAATAAATCCCTCAAAACTCTTATATATGTTTATGTAAATACCTCTGCTATTAGCAGTTCTGTTTATTATTTCATCTTCACATATGTTAAAGCTTAGGGAGCTTACACGCGCGCACATGCGCTCTCTCTCGCATATAATTCATAGTTTGAGAGGGCTCTATCAACATAAAAAAAATAATTTAACGGATATATAATGATGGTTGGAGTTTATCATACAGTAGTTTTTAAAGTTACAAAGGGATCTTTTCTACATGATTCGAGGTTCAAAAAAGTTTCGTGTAATTTACGGATGAAAAATTTCTAACTACATTAATCAATGAAGTAATATTGAAGTTAAAAAAAAAGTGAGATGACAAAAATATTTATAAGAGAAATCTCACATTATATTTGCTAGTGAGTGATTGGAGGAAGTGATGTTTCCAAATATTGGGTTTGTAATTTGCAGATCTTCTATTCTCCATTACGTTGTGGTGAAACACTCCATCGCCAATCTCACAGAGTTCTTTGCCTTGCTTTGCTGCTTCTGATTGCTTTTTGCTATAATCCATGTCGTTTATCATTCTTGAAAATAATATTTATGTGCTTTGTAGCTATGACCTTTTGAGTTTGGGGCAAACCTTAAAGGTGTTTATATAGGAAACTTAATTATTTACAAAAGAAACACAAATATCTCTGTGTGTGTGTGGCAGTGAGTGGATGTGAATGCTTGCGGTGTTCATTGCGCAAAGTGCGTGGCGTGGCGTGGCGTTTTCATTGTTTTGTTTTAAATGTTTTTTTCGTTTATTACTATGAAGTTGTAGCCTCAACATTACATTAATGTTCAAATAAGAAGATTAGGGACAAGGGGCGTCTAATGCCCCACTCTGTATTATTGCATCCTCGTTATGCCGTGGTCCTACATTTTTTTTTTCTCTTTTTGTATTATTTTTTATTTTTTTAAATTGTTAAAATATTAAAACACTGCCATTTTTTGGGAAAAATGACAAAAAAATATATGTTGAATTTCAAAATGCAAATAGGTGATTTTGACAGATTTTGAGTAGTAAAAACCATTACAAGTATAGTCAAAACCATTACAAGAACAGCTCTTTGCACTAAAAAAAAAAAAAACCATTGCAAGAACAGTCACCATGACCTATTTATCTTCTTAAAATTCAACAAGTATTTTGTGTCATTTTTTTTCCATTTTTTATGTCCGTAAAATATAAAGATGTTACTGATTTTCTTATAGAATTTAATAATCAATACAAAGAAAAAAATATTTAGGAGATTGAAGCATCATGAAACATTTGAGAGGCATTAGAGGTCGTCCCTGGCCCCAAAATTAATTCATTCACAGCTTTGTGAAGCTCATTGCTATGTGCAAAGACCCATGTGCGATTGGCAACATTGCTTTAGTTGTAAAGACCAAAAGCTCAGTCCTTTTCCGTACTTTATCAAAAATAGAAAAAGACCAAAAGCTCAGTAGTAATCTCAGAAAGATGAATGGCAAATATCAGAAAATTAGTTATAAATAGGTTGTAAGTTGTAATTAACAAAATTAATTTTATAAATCTCGTAAGATTGGTTATAAATCTTACAAGCTCAATTTCAAATTATGAAATCTCTATTTAAAAATTCTTTCATAATTTATAATTTATATTTACAATTAATCTTTTGATTTTTTGTGATTAAGCTTTCAATATTTACAATTGAGTTTTAAAATTAAAAATCTTTTGTATTTTATAATGAATTTCAGTTAGTCTTTCACAACGGCTAGTTGTGGCAATACCCACTATACTTGGATGAGGTCATAGGTTTGAGTCCGATGTTAACATATTTGTATGCATGCGTTTGTTTAAATCATACTAAATAAATTTTAAAACAACAGTGCTATTTCTAGTTCTTAATATAAAAGCAAATTTAACATTCAATTTGATACTAAATATATATAAAACTCTAACCCACTTTATCTCTTTTTTTTTTTTTCTAAAATAGTCTTTATAGTAATTGCATATGTTAAGGGTTTTATTAAATAGTAGTTCTCGCCAATACATATAATTAACAAAAATATTCTAAGAAAGATAACACCTATTTATTACAAATATCTATTCAGATTAGTCAATTAACTCATATATTTTAAGCACAGGAGGTACCATTTCATTATTTATAGCTGAGATTCTTGAAATTAATACGGTATGATGCAAATCGCATAATGGTATTTCCTTATATTTACTTTTATTTCCCAAACCCTCGCAATTTTCGGTTATTTCACAAATTCGTGTTCCTTCACTATCGTTTTATCGCTTTCATTGTTAACAGTGCTGATATATCATATCAAACACTTAGTAACCATAACAATTCAATTACAATAATGTTTGTTTCGAATTGTAAAGGGATCGTATTAAAAATTAAATAAAAGCACTGGGGAGCATAAGATTATTTCTTATAGTTGTTAACATGTGTTTTGAAAATTATGCTATTCTAAACTTACACGTGTGCGTGTAAATTTATATTAATTGTGTTATCCATCTCTTTCAATAAAAATGATTGTGTGGTTGGATGAAATGGAAATGATAATATCCCTCAAGTAATATGCACATGAAAAAACAAATTCACGCCATGATAGCTACCTCTCATTTCAGATAGGACAGTATCTAGCCTCAGATTATTATTAGATGTCAGCACTTACTCTCTCCATTTTTAATAAGATGCATACCAAAAAAAAGATGTAGTTATTCAGCTAACAAAATATAAAAGGAGGACAACCTGTTATTTTTGTCCCTAATTAATTAATAAAAACTTGCTTTCAAAGTCTAATTCATCATGACAACTTTCAAGGTGTGAGGAGTAAAATTGTCTCTCCACATTTTATTTTATAAATGTAAAACTGTAATTAATTTTTTCTCCTCAATTTATTAGTTTTTCCTTAAACACACTATACTGATTTCATATATTAAGGGTTATCTATTAAAGGAGTTTTTTCGTTTTAACTAATCAAAGAAGTAGCTTCTCATGCAAATCATTACAAGGGTATGTTAGAAAAACCAACACTTACTTTTTTTTATAAATAATTAATTTTTGAAATTTTAACAAATTAGTTATTTAGTTATTACTCCCTCCGCTTCTTATCATAAGTTTCAAATAACTCATTTTTACGTGACGAAAAATCAGTTAAAATTGGTTAAGAGCAATAATTATGTCAAAGATATACTTTTATTTTCAAATATGCTCTTATAATAAATAAAAAGAAAGAAAAGAGAATATATGGAAAAATATGATGAGAGGGTGTAACAAAGAAAAAAATAAATAATTAAGGACAAATTAAAAAAAATACATTAAATGTTGATACAAACTCAAATTAAAATTTATAAAATTGACCACATCCTTCTTCAAATTTAAAAATTATAAACAAGACTAGAGCAGTGTCACTTAGAAATTAAATGCACAACAATCTCGTTTTTTTCAGCCTTGAATTCCTTCCAATATCAACCGTGTTTTATGTGGATGATAGAGGCCAAAGTTAGTGGTTGAAAGACTTTCGTGTACATGATCCATAAAATTATCTGCGAACTAATAACGCAATAACATATTTCTATTTTTGTGAGCGACAACTATATCTGCTAATCAATCAAATAACCCTGCTCCACGAATTTGTTAGTATTAGAGATAAAGTGATTAGAAATTTTGAAATTTCAGAATTCCCTTTTTAAATAAAAGCTCAAACATAAAATATGTCAAAATTTTATTTCATAGAAAGTTTTAAAGTTACAATAATTTTCTTAATTAAAAGTTGAAAACACTTAAATAATAATTTTTAAAATTTTAAAATTAATAAAAATAAATAGAAATTTTGCAGTAGAAATCGAAGAATATTTCTCGTTAACTTATAACACTGTACATGCATAGTATATAAATTTTATTTTTAAAATCAATATGCACAAATTTAAAGTACAAAATCTTTGTGGATTATTGGGCACTGAACATAAAATAAATTCTATAACATTATTTATTTAGAGAGTTTTAAGAGATACACACACACTATAAATATATATTAGAATCAAAACAAGGTTTTTTGAGCTTATGATGGAGAGAAATGTGGGGAGACAGGAAATTAAAGAAAGAAAACATGGGAGAAAATAGATTTTTTTTCCTATTTTGACTGCATGAAAAAATAAGGAAAAGGAAAAGTGTAAAAGGGAAACAAGGGGGTATATGGAGCTCGTATCGTACATTTTCTTTTCAAATTTTTGTCTTCAAAAATAAAATGTTTTGGGGAGAAAATTTACATACTAAAATTGCCTCAAAGGAGGGGGAAATGAGAGGCATGAGGCCCATATCTTTTTCATATTACTGTTGTTGGACTTTATATATCTTGAGAGGGAGTGGTTATTTTTAATATAAATACATAGCCTTCAAAAGCATATAGACAATCACTTAAATGAACTCTTTCATAAATTCCCCCTCTATATGACAGCTCTTACTAGTATTAAGAATCCAAATTTGAGTTAGCCCAAATAAGCTTGAATATACATGCTTGTTTGGATCAGTAGTAGTAGTAACAACTTTTAATTCATCATACTTTTGAAAACTTAAGCTCTGGTAGAAGTTAACTAGTATAATGTGATTTATGTTTTGATTGATTTTTATAAAAAAATTAGTTTGATAAATTGAAAACTGTTTAGATGATTAATAGAAAAGCAAACTTACATATAAAATGATTGAAAAGAACATGAATATAATTATATATATAATATAATAATTTTAAGAGATTATTAAAATTAAAATTATAAAAATAAAAAATAGTAATGAATTATTGGGAAACAATTGAAAATATCAAAATACTTGATTGGATAATAAAGAAAATTTTGTACATAGGCTATTGAATATTATTTTTTACAAATTTTATTAGTTAATTTTTTTATTTCTTAGAGTATTTTGTAAATATCAAGTTGTTGCGCCTATTTGGGCAATTTTATTTTATTTATATTAAAGGATGATAGGACTTTTTTTCCCCTTGGTTCCCTCCTCTCTCCACATCTTTCCTTCTATTATGGGACCACTCTTCTTTCATTTTTCTCCCATGCTTTCCTTCTTTTTGTTTTTGTTTTTTTTTTTTGGTTGAGTGCAGGTATTCTTCTATTGGAGGCTATCCTAATATAGACATTGTCAGGCACTAAATGTGAGTAAAACTTTGATTCATCATGTTATGAGGAACTAATTCCTTCTACTATACTCAATCCCCATTGGTAATATGTACTTTTTTCCCCTCCAATAAGGTAAAGTTGCCTTACTTCCATCGTACATTTGGCCTTATAAGTCATTTTGACAAAAGTTATGCCAAACATTTAAAAATGCCATGAAGCAATCACAAAGAAGAAGAAGAAGAAGCAGCATGAAGCAGCTTTAAACACATTTTCACGTTTTCATTGTGGCTTTTACCCCATATGCCAGCAATCCAAACACAGCCAAGACTCTAATAGATACGCACTAAGAATTATGAATCTTTGAATTATTAGGGGCTTTTTTTGTTTTTTGTTTACACATATTTAACAAATACTGATGCAGATTTCAAATTTACTCATTTACACAAATGTAAGACCATACTTTAATTATACTAGAGGGTTATTTAATTAACTATCAAACTACTAAGCTCGGTTTGATCCTGGAAAAGTAGAATATTTTTACTAACTTCTTTCTAAAACTTCTCCCAAACACAGGGTTCGATCCTGTATAAGGGATAGATTTTTTGAAAAATTTTAAACTTTTGAAAATAGTTACAAAGCGACTTGTTCAATGATTTAAACATCTAATTAATCTCTGATTTTAACATTAATAAAGAATCTCTTGGCTAAGCAATCGATTCCAAATATCACTACATTCGCCATTCATCTGTTTACTTGCACAATACATGCACTTTCCCTTTTCTAATTCGGTAAGTAGACATAGTTACGTGTAACAGCCTTTACTCTTACTACCATCATACAGCGATCAAAGCATATAACACTTACTTGTAGGCTATTTGAGCCATAGCTTTCCTCTTTTTAGAGGTATAGACATAAAAACCCATATCCCTTTACATATCTACGTATATATACATAATTATAACTATGCATGGCTAACCAAAAGCCAAATAGGTAAATAACAAAATATTTTTCATATGATCAACTATATAATTCACTTCCGCTCTAACCTTCTTAGTTCCCTTCAATCACCATACTAAGCCCTTTGAGCCTTTTGTCTTTGTTGTATATCATGGAAGAAAGAGATGAGATTCCTGGAATCTCAGTAGTAACAGCAATCTATCATATAATTATACAAAATTCATAAATGCATGCAAAACAAGCCACATCAGCAATACTTGAAACCAAGCATAATTAGCGATGCTTAAACATTATAAGCTTTACAATTAGATATATTCAATGATGCTCATACATCACCTACTTTGCAATGCACATGGCCATGACAATTAAATCAATGTAAAGCAAACATCACATACTCATACCTGAATACAGCTCTACAAACTCAACACAAAACAAATTCCATATACTTTTACCTAAGGACAACACTATGAGCCACCAATCGTTTATCACAGAACATATCTATCATATTTTCATTATATTAAAGAATATAGGAACTATGGCACAAATAGACCTGTAGAATTATTGAATGAGTATATGAGATCAGAGGGAAAGAGTTACTACCTAAAGTCCCTTCTTCAATTTTTCCTTCTCCTGCTTTCTTTCTTACTTGTTTTCTTGGTGGGCTTAGGCATATATCAAATCTTATAATATAGTTTCATATAGAAAGGGGGTCAATGCTTAGTCAATTTAATTTTTATTTTCAAGATTTAATTACTCTTTATCTACTTACGAACTCTATAACTTTTATTTAATAGTTAGTCATCCTGAACAATATTTTTATATTTATATTATGTCATTGAAGACATTTGAAAATGTCTTTCCTTTTGTTCAAACATTCTAGATTCATTATAATCAATCAAGTAACTTCATCACTGTTCCTTTGATTCGCTTGAACGAGACACACACATATATCTATATGTACCATAATTTTACATCTCCTAAGCACTTTCAATTAACTTATGATCATTTTCTCAAATTTCAATCATAGCTATTGCTTCCCACAACCTTAGCATAACCTATGAAATTTTTTTCCAAATTTTGACGTTACTTTTTCCCATTTTCCCATTTCAATTGGAAGTCTAACTCAACATTTTGAATCTCTCGATGTACTTCCATCCAACTAAGAAGAGTTCTGGTCATTAATCTAATCACACTAACTATCTTGAGACAATTATCTCCTACCTTTAAAAGCTTAAGAACGTAGAACAGTGCCTCTTCAATTTCTAAACTTAAATTTCCAGATTCAAAGCTCACCCTCTAAATCTCTCGAATAGTCACTTTTACTTATAAAATTCAGCACATTATAGTCATACAATTATTCCTTAGCTTCCCCATCTGACAACACACATATACGGATTCACTTAACCCCCCCCCTTTTTTTCATTCAACCCTATGTAAAACCAAGTAAACTTCTTTGAACACCATTAATAATAATGCATATATATAGGTATATAACCAAAACAATGGCATTTCCCCCTATTTTTGATCTGCACCAAATAATTCCCTTAATTCTTGCTAAGTTCTGAAACCAAAGCTACTCATCAACTCCACAACACATATATATAAATGTATTTCCCAAATTATAACACCCACATGTATATGTGCAAGTATACATTCATTATATCATTATCATTCTTTCTGTTGAACCTCACGGCATGTGTGTGTGTATGAAACTTACTTCCTTCCCATATACTTCACGCCATTCACATCACACACACACACACACACACACACACACACACATATCAATTTAAATCTTTAACACTAAACACCCAAGCTTTCAGTCACACACCCATTTATGCCCTTCATTTTCTCATTAAATCCAAGACATTTCCTTGAACCATTAACCCTTGTTTTGAAAGTTAAGAATCAGAGAAGAAAATCAATATGCAACCTGAAAAACAAGTTCCATTTTCATCAACAAGCATCGTTCTTTTATCATCATCAAATTTTCTGGTTTATCCCGACTCTTCTCTTACTGGCCTATATTTTCTTTCATCATCAACTCTTCAAAAACACAGCAAATGGAAGAAAGAAAGGTAGGAGAGTGATCATTGGACTCTCCTTGTCTAGAATCATCGATTGCACGTAAGGAAACAACCTCAGATCACCTTCTCCATGTTAAAGTTTTACGCCTCGTTTGATAGCAGGGAACCAGAGGGAAGGAAGTGGAACCCATTATTTTGTGTGTTTGGTATGTGTGAAGTGGGTTCTTGGTGGAAGTGAATTCCATCAAATTTGATGGAACTGAGTTCTTTGGGTACCTCGATGGAACTAAGCTGGGTTCTTCGAAACTGAAATTTTGTGACCATTCTATCCTCAATTATTTTATCAATTAACAAATTTGCCTATCTTGATTATAACCATGCCTTATCCCTTCTCTATCCAAGTCGATGACATCTCCTCCTCTGGTGTCCATCTCAAACATTCACTGCATCCTCCTCCGGCTTCTCCTTCGATTTCATCTTCTCCCTTCTCGCTTGCTCTTCCAACATCGGCAACAATGACCTCGCGAGAACGATAAAGACGACATAAAGCTAACCGTGCGACGTTGATGAAGTGCGCCGTTGTAGGGGTTTCGGCCTTTGATTTTCACTTTGGATGCTCATTGTCTTTCCTCCGCTTCATCTATTTCTTCCGTCAACGACAAGGGAGAGAGATCGACATTTGGGTTTCTCCAGAGAGTATGGTTTTTGCTATCAAGGGGGTGGGGAAGATTTCCCCAGATCTGCTATTGACACTGCATCCATCTTCTTCTGCTAATTTTCTGCAATGTTTCTTGTTTGAATCTAGTGTTAATCGCCGTTATTGATGCTTGCAAAACTTTCTGGATTGTGGGAATCAGAATGCTAGGCTAATATAGGTTGAATTTTCAGATACAAGTTTTTTTTAAACTTATGGGTATTTCAGCTCAAAAAAATCAAAATTTTCTTTTCGCCATCAATTGTGCTGTTCTATTTCAAATCAGAACCCTGAAGAAATGTTGTTCTGACATCGAACCGGTTGAGAAATATATGCTAAATGTGGATCTCATATGTGGAGTATGATAAGAACCAAATAATGGGAATTGAGTGGATTAATTGCTTTATGGTTTGATCAGATTTTGCAATTGGAAGAATCTGATTCCTGAACAGGTTCCTTCCATGTGCAATTTGATGGTGTGATTTTTTTTCCTCTCAAAAATGAAATATTTTTCTGAGAGGAACAACATTTTTTTTCAGCTAAGGATATTTTAGTATTTTCATATTATTAATACTCTTTTCAATTAAATTTTATAGCCCACTTCCATCATCATACCAAACACACTTTTAAGTCTTAATTCCTCTTCCATTTTCACTTCTATTTCTACTTCCGATTCCACTTTCACTTCTATTAAGAACTCTTCCATCATACCAAATGGTATAGTGTGTGAGTATGTCAAAAGAAATCCCATATTACTTAAAGTTGAGAAAATCTTAGTGTTTACTAAGATATGAGCTTAAGCTAATAAAATGGCTAAGAGGAGTCTTTAAAATTGACCATTAGAGATAACCATTAGAGCATTTATGTGTTGTAATTAGTCGGTTTTATTTTTTTATTAACCAGATTTAATGGCCTTAACATGTTTTAATTCACACTAATCAATTGTTCAAAAACCGCCCTTTTAATTGTCATTAAAACCGTCATTAATCACTATCATGGCAGCCCAATGGTTACATATTATCTGTTTATAATAGGTAATACATGGTGCATGGTCAGAAAGCGTTGATTCTACCCTCGAGCTATCTCTCTCTCTTCTCTTGAATTTTAAATTTCTAATGTTTTGTTGCCTTACTCTATGCAGGAAGGGTTGTTTAATCCTAGGGAGTGCTGCCTTTTATTCTAACCTTGTATGGCGGAATAATTCTTGAGGATAGTGTCCTTGGACACGACTTGAAACATATTTTTATTATTTTTGCAGGTGTTGCCCACAATCTTAAGAGTTATTCCTTGATAATTTTGTGTTGAGGCGTGTTTCTGAGCAAAAGAAAAGTATCAGATTAAATCTTGAGAAATTTGCTAGCTGGGTGCCTACACCATCGGCTATCCCATCTTGTGGTGGGTATTCCAAGAAGTCAAGCTAGAAGGTTTGATGTTCTCAATGTTTGTTCACGCAAAGCCATAAAACTTGCAGCTCTGCATTTTAGATAGTGTTACTGGAAAAATAGCAATGGAATTCTTGAACCTATGTGTTTGACTGCGGATTTATAAGAATAAATATTGGTGAAAGTCAAAGCACTGGTAAGTAGATAATTCAGGCCTAAATGTGAACACTTGCAGAGCTACATTTGACATATGTCGTTAGATGAGTTCTGTGGCAATAACTGTATTGTGAATTTGTGAGGCTTCAACTTGAAGATTTCAAGGTGTACCGTGTTGTCGTTACAATATATACCTGAAAGATTGAATTATATGTTGAAAATTGGTTATACCAAATGCGGATTAAATTATTTATGAAGTGGATGATTGATTATCATGTGAAATATTCAAATTTAAATGTTATGTGGGCAATTCTAATTTAATTAGAAATCTTATTGTAAAGTGGTGATTAAAATTGTCATTGGATGTGAGAAGGTAGTTCTATAAGGCAATGAGAAGAAATTTTTCCGTAAGTGACCAAAAGTTTGGTCTTGGTTCTGATAATAAAATTCTACTGATCATAAGATAGTTAAGGGAGGAAAATATGGGTGCCAACCTCAGACCGGCATCAACCCCTGGAAATTGTGGAGGCCAGGGATGGACTACAAATTGAGTTTTAACTCCCATTGATACATGGGCATGACCATCTAGAATGGTAAATCAAATTGGTGGTAAACATGAACCCGATAAAAGCATGCGTTGAGGTAGTGGATCCGGTGACGTTCATGAATGAAACTAAGTTATAGGGCATATTACATGCTGATGTGGCCCATGGTGGTAATGAAACAATAGTGCCAAGTTTACCTTTTTTAACCGGAGTCACTCAAGACCTCTAAGGTACCACATTTAGACGGCAAAAGTTCCTGGCATGAATACCATCGTGGCGGGGGTTACTGTTAATCATGTTTCCCTTGAGATTAGGATAATGCTTTAGCTTAGTCTCCCGCCGCAGGTACACATATATTAAGCTAGATAAACATATTATCATTATTATAATTGTTGCTGTTGTTCCTATTATCATCATTATCATTATTATTATTATTATTATTATTATTATTATTATTATTATTATTTGTTGGGAAAAGTTTTTTTTTTGAGGATCGAATATTAGGGGAAAATTAAGGCTTGATGTTTTGTTTACATTAATAACTTGAAGGGGTTGCAACAGTATATATGGTAATATATTTAGTATATGAGTTAATGGTTTCATGAATTGAATTGAGCCAATGATGGTTTGTTTCTCGGTTACGTAGACATTAATGGGATGTTTATTAATGTGTGTGATGAATTATTTTAGAGCGATTTCGTAACACACGCAGTTGCAGCATCTAGAATGTTCATTTTGGAAATTTTATAATTTAACATCCTGAATTTTGGGCCCAGAAGTACTAGAATTAGCCTAATATGGGCAGGCTATCAGACCTCTCGTGGCAGGAGTCCCAAAAATTTCCTGAAAGGATAAAAGTATACCCAAAGACCAAATTGTAAAGTGAAAGTTTTTTGGGACTGAAAAAAGAGAAAGTTAGAGACTCTAATGAAGTCTTAAGGCTCAAGAATGAGAAATAAAGATGAATGTAGGCCAAAGGTTATGTTGGAGGCCTCAATGAGGTGAATTTTGAGGTTAAGCCGAACCAAAGGTAAAATTATAATTTTGCAAAGTTTCGAGTCGATAAGGGCAAAGATGAAAATTATGCCAAAAAATTCCAAAAAAAATCCTAGAAAATGAGAAATGGCATGTTAATGCCTGTATGTGAAGTCCGGGGGGTACAGTAGAACAAGTTGAGTTAATTAAGGGCTAAAGCTTGTGCTAGGATCCTCAGTAAAAGAATTCCTAAGGCTAAACCCGAGCAGGGATCTCAACGCAAATTTGAAAAATTTCAGGCCGAAAAGGGGTAGTAATGGAAAGTAGGCCTAAATACTTCAAAAAAATTTCAAAAAAGTAGGATTAACGTCTAGAAGCCTGTATGAGACTAAGAATGATGAAAATATCCTTGGAAGGAATTTGTGAAATTTCAGAGTTTTGACTAATTTTGAATATTGGCGGAAATTGAATTAATTAAAATACAGGAAGACCTAAGATAATTGGACAAAAATGGGGGACAATACTTGAGGAATTTTACAGGTTGTAAAAATAATTCTGTCCTCAGAAAATGAAGAGGTTGGCTTTAATAGAATTTAAAGCCTATTTATATACTATCTGGGAAAAGTCAAAGTAAACTATTTAGAGGTTGACCTTTAACTTAAGAAAAATTAGAGAAATTACCTGTGATTAATAAATAGTATTGGTTCCCAGAGACAGATTCTTAGAGTCGTGGACCGGTAGAAAGAATGCGGTCATGTTTACTCTGAAATAAATATTATTAATTGTTTTAATGGAGGAACAAGGGAAGAGCATCAATCCCTCTTTAGGCATGTTATATAATGCTACGTAGACTTATTTGAGATGAGAAAAGGATGCCAGAACATGTTCCAGTGGTCTCGAGTAAGTCAAAACCCAAAAAAGTACCCGATACGATGTAGAATGGCAAGATAGGTGGAGGAATACCTAGGGACCACATTTTGCATGAATTTCCTATTAATTTTCTCCCTATTTTAATGCCAAAATATTGAACGGACATGCAAGAGACACATGTACGGTTGGATGAACGACACATGTATGATTGGATACAAGACACATATACAGTTGGATGCAAGGCACGTGTACTATTGATTAAAGACATGTGGCTTGATGATGTAAGTATGATGTAAGCAAGATTAGGTAAGCATGATGTCATGAGGACACTTGTCACCACAAGATAAAGAGGCAAAATGGATGGTTAAGATTAAGCCACCTATTTACAAGATCAAGGGTCAAGATTTAATCTTATTTTCTATAAATACCCCTCCCCTCCCCTCCCCTCCCCTCATTTGCATCCTAAGTCTATGAAAATCATGAGAAAACTCTTAAAAAATGAATTCTAGAGAGAGAAAGAAGAAGGGAAGGGAAAGACCAAGTCATTCTAAGCAAAATCAAACTCTAAAACAAGGTATGTTTATGGTTTTTGATGTAGTTTCCACTACCCTCGTTATTGTTGAGCTTGTTTATGGGTTTCAGTGGTTTTTAGGAGCTTGAAACCCTTGGAGGTATGTTGCACAAAACTCCCAAGTGTAGGGAAAGATGAAATTGATGTTAGAATAATGTTTAAAGGCTTGAAAGGAATAAGAATCAAGTGGTTTTATATGGAAATTCGTCGAATTTCATGATTATGTAACTTAAGTAAGATTTCAGCCAAAGCTGGTTATTGGGGCTAGGATTGGATTTGATGATTTTGATACTTCAAATGTGTTTAAAATGAAAAATTATATGGGGATAAAAGTGAGAAAACAAGTTTGGAAGTATTAGAATTGAAAATAGAAATCTTGGACTCTATATGCATATTGTTCAGCCAATTGGAATTCAAAGGGAAGGAGTTGGGTTTTGACAAATCCAAGCTCATATTTGGATTCCTCATGAAAAATTGAGTGAAAAATAACTAAAAGAATGATTTTAAAGGCAATGGAAAAGAAAGTGAAAATTAAGGTTAAAGAGGAACAAGTTTAAGAGTTAAGATGGTTAATTATTTTTCATGGTCTTAATAGATTGGTTATTATTGTGTTTTGTGAAATTAGGACCGTGAGACACAAAGAAAGAGGAATGGCAAAATTGTTGAAGCAATCTTGGCGATTGGGAAATAAAGAGAGCAAGAAGGAAAGGTTAAGGATAAAAGGTAGTGAACTTATCTTTCTTGTGTGCTTGATGTGCATTATGTTGGTTGATGATGATATGAGATGCTAATTTTAGTATGATGCTTTGATTCATTGATGTTTTCTATGGCCATGCATGTTAAGGTGAAACATTGAGCATGAGAATATGTTATAGGTAAGCATGAGCTAGATCAAGGTAGCATATCATATACTTACATCTATCTTGTATGCATTGATGGTAATGTTTACTACTAAGATTCTTCCAAATGTCACCCTCCCTTAACCAACCATAATAGGTGCAAAGAGCATGGGAGAAGAAATCAAGAAGTGAAGCAAGGAAGAGAGGAAAAGAATCTAAGAAATGTATTACATTACATTGTATAATTTGTATGTTAATGTATGATATAAATTAAACATGCTGCTAATGTTATGTGATGATAAATAGTAATGATGGCATGTATAATTGATTATAATAATGTATGAGAATAGATTGTGGATAAGATTATGCATAGAAAGAATTAATTATGAATTACTAATGCAAGTTAGGGGGATAAAGTATCCTAAAAGAGCCACAAAATAGTGACAAAGTAGAAGTGAGGCAAATGATTGATTCTGTCATGAAATTTGGCATGATTAAAGTACACATCTTGAGCCTTAAAAAAAGTGGTACATCACTTAAAATAGATATGTATGCAAAGATTTATGCTTAATCAAAGTTGGGGTAGAGAAATGAAAAGTACAGTTTTTACTAAATAAATAGTAAATTTCAACGAATAAACTATACAAATAGCCCATGGTTAAGTTTAGTTTTATATTTTTTCCCTATAGAGAATTAAAAGAGCTTCAAATAGAATTTTGAACCCCCTTAATACAAGTTTTCTATAATTAGTTATGATTTTTCAAAATTTAATCTAAAATCTGGAATTTAACCAGTGAACAATAACCCGAGAATTAATGTTTAAATTTTCAATCCACTAGCTTGTTTCATGATCTGTTTGAGCCTTAACACTCCCAAATACATACTAAAAGGGGTTTAAGGAAGGATGTTTCATATAATCAACTCCAATCTTGCTTACATAAATTGGCAGAAGTTGCAATTTTCTATTGGTAATATATATTACCCTTATGCTTATGATTAATGATTTCTTTAAAAGTCTTTTAATTAATATGTTGCAATATTGGATGGCATATCAGTTTTCCTTGGTTTGACAGGTCACAAATGTATGTTGTTTATATTGATTCTGGTTAACGTTGAATTTTGATAGTTGAGAATGGGACAATTTCACTTATTATGATCTATTAGATCATTATCATGAGAAAAGTTCTAATCAAATAGTATGGTGAACATTCTAGTATGAGATTCTAATTTAATTAGAATTACTATTGATGAGGTATGAAAATAACCTTCCTATATAAATGAGATATTTCAAAGTGTGGGGTTGCCAGGAAATGTGAGATGCCTTAGCCTAAAGATATAATATTGACTATAAATTGTGTTATGCTCATTTTACAAACTTCAAAATTTTTACTGTGATTAAAAGGAAAATGTTG